CTCTTCTCATCTCTATTTTTGTCCTTTCAGTGCTCTCTCCTCTCTGTATCCTCTCTGTTATCTCTCTCTTGTCTCTCTGTCCGTGTCTCTCTCTGGTTAACACTTTGACTGCTTTTCTTCCCATCTCTCTGACCCTTTCTGCCACTTTTTAGTTGTTTCTCTCTGTCCCTGTGTGTCCCCAACCCACCCCTCCACCCCCCACCAGTCCCTCTATCACTGTTACTTTTTAAAATCTGTCCTTGTGTCTCCCCGTTTCGTCCCCCTTACCTATCTCTCTGAGCCTTTCTATCACAGACTCTCCATGTCTCTCCATCCAACCCAGAGGGCCCCACGTCTCCTGCCCTCTCAAGCCGTGTTCCTGACCGCTGACCGGAGGCTGGGAGGCTGCAGCCAGCTCTCACTGGCCCAGCCCAGCCGGGAGATGGCAGCTGGGCTGGGGAGTGTGAGACCTGGAAGCCCCCTCCAAGGAAACAGGGCAGAACTAGGAAAGGCCCTGTAGAAACAGCCCCTGCTGGGTTCATGGGGGTGTGCTCCTGTACCCCAGGACTGGCTCCCCCTCCCCCTCCCCCCAATGAGGCTGGGGTTTTGGGAGCGGGTGGTCCCAGAGAGGCCACCTCATTAGAGCAGTTATTCAGCATGGCGCTGGTGTAGGCAGATAAACCTTATCAGCTCATCTCCCCCTCCCAGAGACAGACAGAAAGTGCCCTCACAGATGGCACCCCGGAGCTCCTCTGGCTGCCTGCCCTGCTGGTTAGGGAAAGTGTGGATACGGCAGGCAATCTGGGAAGACACACATACAGTGTCACCCAGGGACACACTCCTCCACAGACCACAGACACAGAGTAACACTGGGTAGAGAAACATATAGTGTTCAAAGATATGTTCACATACACAGATGCCCACACTCCACATACACAGATACAAACACCCCACCCAAAACACATCAATTCCACATGGAGCTATACACAGATATGCAGACACATTTGAATACACTCTCCACCCTCCCACCGTCAGTTCTAACATAAAATGATACACACCCATGCCTATGCTGTTAAAGACAGACACAGACCGCGATTCACAGACGCAGGATACCCAGGGACACACTGCTACTGACCCATACAGGGATAGACAAACACTTGGAAGTACCCACTTCCCATCACAAGGTCCATGGACACAGTGATCTCACAGATACACAGCCACAGGGACACGCATCCAGTTCCACAGATACTCCCTCCCAAGTGCACTTTCGGAGTCACATTCTGAAACGCCCACACACAATACACAAACTCTCCGGGACCCACGGTATAGAGACCCTCAATACACGAACTGTCTGGGACCCACAAGAAGAAATGGACATACTAATAGACTCAGTTTTGCAGACTTCCCTTCCCATGTGCTCACAAATGTATACACACACGGGCACACAGCCCAGAGCACATGCACAGGCAGTACAGTCACCGCCAGCTTCAAAGAAAAACCCACACACAGCAGATGCCCGCAGAGATGGCAGGCTGGACGCACCGCCTCTCTGGGCGCACCTGGGCAGGGACTTCCCAGTCTTTCCAAGGCAAAGCACTTTCTCTTTGGGCCAAAGGTCCCCACAGCACTTTCACTCTCCCTGGGCAGCTGGGATGGGACTTCAGCTGCCCTGTTGAATCTCCTGGTAGGAACTTTGGAAGTTCAAGAACTAGACTTCCTAGCTCCCAAACCCAGGAGTTTCTTGGGGTGAAGACTTCCATACCCCAACTCCTCCACCCAGCCTTCCAAGGACAAGCCCTCTACTCCCTCCCTCCTCCCCCTCGAGGGTTGCTTTGGGATGGGCCAGGGAGATGCCTCAAACTCCACTTCTAAAATGCTCTGGTGTCTGGAGTTGGGGAGTTAGGGTGGGGTACAGGTGGGGCAGGGATAGGGGCTTTGTCTACACTTAGCCAAGTCAGCCTGGAAGTGAGGCAGTTGTGTGTGTGCCAGATGTGTGTGTGTGTCAAGCTACATTTGAGTGTGTGCATGTGTTCATGTCCGTGTGGCCCAGACCTCCTGCCTGAGGACGTCCACGCGGCCACAGCTGTGTGTGCTAACGCGTGTGCACGGATACGTGTGTGGCCGTGTGAGCACTCCTGAAGGCGGGTTAGAGGAGGAGGCGCAGGCGTCTGTGTGCGTGCGTGTGTGAGTGCCTGTGCCCACGGCTCTGGAGGTCCCCGGTGAGAGAGTCTCGGAAGAGGGACGGCCGGCCTTTCTGAGCGCGCATCCCGGAGAGCAGGGGTGCGCCTGTGTGTGCGCCCCTGCGAGGGCGGGAGTGGTCTGGAGTAGTGGCGAGTAGGGTGTGTGCGCCCTGAGTGCCTACCGCCCCTCGGCCCGGCGGCTGGAGCAGGGAGACGGGGCACAGAACCCCGGGCACCCTCCTGCCCCCCTGCGGCGCTCCCGCGCCCCCCCGCCAAAGTGCTGTCGAAATAAAAGCAGAGGCGCTGCGGCCGAGGGAGGGAGAAGCAGCAGGAGCGAGAGGGAGGCCGGCGGCACGCCGCTCAAGTCTATCTCCCGGCTGCCGTCGCCCCCACCCCAGCCGGCCCCCGTCATCCACCCGGCGAACAAAAGCGGCCCGACGCGCACCATGCGGCCGTTCGCCGCGCCGCCCGGGCCCCCCTGGTAACGCCGTCAGCCTGCGCGGGATCCTTTGGACCCCGCTCGCTACGCACCGCGCTGTGCGCCCCGCTCCGCCCCGGCCCCGTCCGCCCGGGGGCGCCGCCCGCCGCATCTCGCTCGGTAAGTCGCCCCTTCTCCGCCTGGCCAGGGCCCTTCCAGCCCCCAGGCTCGGCCCAGCTGGCACCCTAATCGCGCGGTCCGCCTGGCCCAGTGGCCCCTGAAGTGTGGCCTTCGGGGCTCGCCCTGGCTATACCAGCGCCTGGAACCCCAGGTCATAGGGGCCTAAACCTGAGGGAGCGTTTGGAGAGTTGTGGACAGCAGGCCCGCCTGGGGCCTGCCGCCTTCCCATTTCTCGGACGGAGCCGTAGGCCTCGAGGCCCGGTTATTCCGAGAGACGCAAAGCCCCGCCCAGCCCAGCCCCAGTGCTGGGCCCTTTGTCTGGGCCGCCCCCCACCTCCGGGCCGCGGCGGCGATGCGCCCGAGCCGGGCCGCCGTTCGCCGGCTGCACCTGCCGGCTGGTCCCGTGCGCCGGCTTTGCGCGGCTTAACCCGGCGCGCTCCTGCGTGCGCCCCCAGGCGCCGCGCCCCGCGGCCCTTTATCCTGCGTGGCTGGGGTGCGGGTGGGGGAGAGCACTGGGTCTGGAAGTCTCCCCCCTGCCCCGAGCCGGAGTCGGAATCCTTTTAGTGGGATTTCAATAAGAATGGGGCCGCCGCGGTCTCGGGATCTGCCTCCGGGAGGCGGGAGGCGTAGACGGCGGCGGTCTGGTCTGTCTGGACCCAGGGCATTTAGAATCCTTCGGCGGAGGCCAGGCTTGAACTCCAGGTTGCCTCGGCAGCGAGGGGAAAGCTCTGGCGTTCAGGGCCCCCGGATGTGGCGGCCGCTCCTTTCCCGGAAAACACGGAAGGAAATTCGTTGTTTTGGAAAAAGCCACGTCTCCCGGGGTCGGGAACATTTGGCAGTGAGCTCTGGGTCTACGCAGGCACCTCGCGCCGGGATTCGTTCATGAGCAGGCAGGATTCGAGAAGCAGGTAGGGCCAGTGCGGCTGCCCAGGCGTCTGGGGAGCGTTTCCCAGGCGGGTTGACAAATTGCAAACAAATTGCGTCTAACGAAACGGATTTACCAGTTGTCCTGCTGCTGGGCTGCGGGGCTGCCCGGCCTCCGAGCACACCGTGGCAGTTCATGGAGGAGGGAGAAACGCGGCTCGATTGTCTGCAGGTCTCAGCAGGGCCCCTTGCTGTCGGGCTTGGAGGTGGCGGTTAGAACCTCGTAAAGAGATACAGGGTCTCCGAGGAGCCTCCACCCAGGGTGCGGACACGAGTAGGACGTTGGACCCTGGTCTTTACAATTCAAAAAGGCCCGGAAAACGGTTGGGGTGGGAGAATTAGCATGGTGGCGGGAGGAGAGGGAGACTTCAGATTTTGGGGGCTGGAAGTGAACCTGAAAGAGCAGGAGGGGCTGTTGGATCCCTGGTCGCCTCACTGGGGAGCCCCTCTGGAGGATGGCTGAGGCCCGAGAAGATCTGAGGCCTTGCCTTAGAGGGGACATCTGAACCCCTCTGGCTAGAGCGGCCCCCACTTCCTCCTCAGTACCCCTCAAGGCACATTGCCAGTGAGGCCGCTGTGTTGCAAATTAAATATCCCTAAGAAAGGCAGCCCCTAAGCAAACGGATTTCTTTAAACACCCCGTCCACTGCTGGCCAATTAGATGCCCATAGGAAAAGGTGAGAATTAGGTTACAGAGAGAGGGCAAACTTATGGTCCCAGAGGGGCCGCCTCAGGTGAGCCAAATTGAAACAAAGGGCAGGGAGGGGAGGGTCGCACAGGATGGGGAACACCTGGGCAGCTGAGTGCCGGGCCGAGGCCTTGAGGGTCTCTAGAACCGGGCTTCGGATCTCTGCACCCCCAGCTCCCGAGAAAGCACCCCGGGAGGCTCCGAGCCGCGTTCTGCTAGGGAATCTCCAGTCATTTGGAAAAGGTCGTTAGAAAATTCAGTTTTGCCACTGCCCTTCCCCACTCCCTTATAAAATTTTGTTCCCATGTAAGGAAAGTGGCAGCTTTAGTGCGACCGAAGGGCAGCGGCCCGCATTTGCAACAATACTTGGGAGTGAACAAAAAAAAAAAAAAAAAAAGGAAGGAAAAAAGGAACGTGTCCCTCTAAACGTGTTCTGGAGACCCCAAAGTCCGAGGCCGTAAACCGAAATAAATCCGCCCTCCGAAGCCCCGAGGATGCCCACCCCAGTCCATCCTGGGAGCTGACCTGACCCTCCCTGGAGGTTTGTTCCATCCGAAGTGATGAAATGGTCTCACTGCCCGGTGGGCAAGGTGCCTGGTTATGTCCATCGGTCTGTCTGGCAGGCACACTCAACCAGTGGGACCCCCCCCCCATTATGGGCCAGCTAGAGGCCCTGGGGCCTGGTGCCCCGCTTTTCTCTCCCAGACGGGTTAGTTCCTGCTGGAGAACGCAGCAGTCCCGCGTCCAACGCAGGAGCTCCAGCCAACGTGGAGGCCTCAGCCAAGCCGGCTGCCTGCCTGCCTTTTGCAGGGAGGCAACCCCACGGCCTCGAGAGACCCTGGTAGGGTTCCCCTTTCCCTTTTTTTCTCTAGGCCCGGATTGCGGGAAGGGAGGCTGGTGCAGATCTCCCGAGGCCCCTGCTCGAGCATTGCTTAACTGCCCAGCTAAGCTCCTCTTCGCGGCGATTTTCTGAGCCGCCGATCGGGGTAATTAAATCCCCGCCCGCGCTCCGTGCTGCGCCAGGCCGGCGGGCAGAGAAGGGCTGCCGTTCGGGCAGGGGCCCACCCGGGCGGGTCACCTCCATCCCGGCAGTGGGCAGGACGCTGCCCCGGAGGGGCTTCAGGCTGCCCCGGAGGAGCTTGAAGCCGAGCTCGCGGTGATGAAACTGTAGACCCACCCAGAACCGGAGATAATTTGAACCGCGCCTTTGGGGGGAAAAAGGCGATTACCTGCTTTCCTGAGGGCTGGGAACGACCACCTCCCTGCGAGCCGAGGCTCCGATCGCGGCCCCGCGGTAAGCTTCCGCTCGGCTCCGGCGTTCACCGCCCCGTGGCCGGCCTGAGGGTCGGGGGCCTCCCGCGCTCGGTCCTGGGGTTTGAGCTCCTGTGGGGCAGCCTTGCCGGACACGGGGTATTGTCCCCGAGGCCGTGTTGTCTTTGAGAAGCTCCTGCTGGGCTCCGAGGCGACGAAACAGGCTGGGAGGCTTCGCGGCGATCGCGTTTTACGCGTTGATGAATCGTAAGCTAAAGGCGGGGAGGAGAAACAGACGTACGGAAAGACAGCGGGTCTGGGCCAGACCGCACGCGTTTCGGGGCGCGCGAACAGGGAGGCACGGAGGCCGCTCACCTGCCTGGTCCGGCAGCCGAGGCCCGGCGCCCGCGGCCTCGAGCTCCTGCTCCCGGCCCCGGCGCGCCTTACTCGGCGGGCGCCGGCCTCCTCTCCCGCAGACCGGAGTTTCGAGAAGCCCGGGCCCCGCGCGCCTTGGAGTGGAGCGGAGCGGGAGGCGCGCGGGCGGCCAGGGCAGACGTGCCCCAAGGGCCGGAGACGCGTGGGTTCCCAGCGGGATGGGGCTCTGCACCCCTGTCCCCGCGCCTTTACCTGCGCCAGGGCCTCGGACAGACGAACGGACAGCCGGACGCAGAGGCAGGAGGAGGCCCCCAGCCCGAGCCCGCGCCCCCTTGGCGCTGCCCAGAGCTGCCCTGGGAGAGGGTGACGGGGGCGCGCCGGCGGAGCCGGGCCTGGCCTGGTGCCCCCCGAGCCGAGGGGACCGAGGGCTTTCCTCCCTCCTCAGATTATTAAAAAGTTCATTTCCTGGCGAATCGGGTGACGTCAGGGGCCCGGCGTCGCGGTGGCGGGGCTGCCCGGCCGGAGAAGCCGCCTCCAGTTACCCAATTACCGACTGTCAATCCCGCCGCCCCTCCCCCCACCTTCCCGGGGGTGGCCAGGGCCCCGGCCCTCCCCCCTGCCGCGGACCCACCTAGCATCCCTCTGGGCTTCTACCCCCGAGAGCCGTGGAACAGCGAGGGGAGGGGGCTGAGGATGTCGATTACTCCCCATTACCCCCGCACCTGTCTCTTCATCCCCCCCATTTTTTTTTTTGTTCCCGACCCCCCTCCTGGGGCGTAGGCTCCCTTCAAGCCTTGGTCTCCTCCGTCTATACAATGGGAGAGAGCAAAGAGATTTGTGCACCCGGCCCACTTCACCCACAGAGCCGGATCTCTGGACTGGAGGCTTGTGGAGAGCAGTTCCAGGTGACTTAGGGGACGGAGTTCTCAGACCACCATCTCCCTCTCCCCAGGGGCCGCCTTAGGGACCCCCCCCCCCTCCCCGGGGAAAAAAATGCCTCCTCCTGCCCGGAGGCGTCTCCTTCGAGCCGGCGCCGGCGCCAGTCCGGGTCTGCACGGCCTCGCCCCAGGCAGTTCGGCCCGTTGGTCTGCGAAGGCCACGCCCGGGAAGGGGACGCCCCCTCCCCCTCTCCGGAGCCGCCAGCCAGGCCACCTCCACCAGGTCAGGCCGTCCTAAGCGGCCTCTTGTCCGAGGCCCAGGTGCCCACGGGGGCCCTGTAGTTCCTGCCCCTCATCGATCCTGCTGTCCCGCAGCAGTCCTCCCACCCCACCCCCTACCCCCCCCGCTTAGCCAGAGCCCCAATTGGGGCAGGGAACGGTGTCGGTAGGTAGTTGGACTCCCATGGCCACGTTCAGTGGTAAATGAGGTGGGATCCGAGAGAGTGGAAGGGCTGGGGTCCCGGGGAGAGGACACCCAAACACCCAGAGAGTGCGCGGCCCAGGCTCCCGGGGAGGGGGCCCAGTTGGAGGTTAGTTACTGGGAAGAGGGCCCGGAGGTTAGGGGAACCAAGAGTGTCCGCAAGAGGGGGCGCACAGTCGGCCCGCGGGGTGCGGGTCCTGGGGGGAACGTCGGCAGCAGGGGCCGCCGGGAGGGCGCGGGGAGGAGGCGGGCAGGCGCAGGGGGGCAGGCCCGCGGGTCCGTCCGGGAGTCCAGGGGACCGGGAGTTGCGGGCGCAGCCAATGGGGGGGCGGAGGCTGGGCGGCGCGCGGCGCTGATTGGCTGGCGCGGGCTTCTTAGGCGTGCGCGGCCCCCGCTTCATGTCTGTGCAGGAGTCGCGAGCTGGCGCCAGGGCGGCCGGAGGATGCCGAGGGGCCGGAGCCGGGCGGGCCGGAGGCCGAGGCGCGCGCTGACCCCCGCTCCCACCCCGTGAGCCCCGCCATCCGCCCGACGCGCCGTCCCTGAGCCCGCCGCCCCCCGGGCTCCCGCCCGTGCTGCCCGCTCCGAGGCCGCGCCTCCCTCCCGCGGCGCTGCGTGTGTAAGTTTGGGCTTCGGGGGGTAAGTTTGGGCCGGGGGGCCTGGGGCGCGCCGGGCTCTGAGAGGTCACTGCGGGGGCCTGGGCCCTGCGGGCCAGGCTGCGGGTGACTGCTTTGGTGTGCCTCGGTGAGAGGTCCTGCTCGTGTCGCCGGGGAGTGCGCGCGGGGGGTGGGGGTGGGCTGGCTCTGGGCTCGTGGGGCAGCGTGTGTGTTTGGGGAGGCGAGGTCAGTCCGTGTCAGCGCCAAGTGTAGTTCTGTGCGTGTCGCTAGCATCGTGTGCCCCCGTGGGTGCTCGGGCGCCTGTCTTCAACTTCCAGTCGGTGTTTATGTGTTTGTGTACAGGGCTGGTGCGAGGGTGGTGGGGGGGCGGTGAGCGTCTGGCTGAAGTGCGACTCTGCGCGTTTGTTGGGGCCGCTGGTGTCGGTGCTTGGCCCCGCGTGTGACCCCGTGCGCCCAAGTGCGTGGCTCCGGGACCCGGGTCACCGTGGGAGCGTGCGTGGCTGAGCCGGCTCCCCCACCCTCCTTTCGTTTTGAGCTTTGGGCTTTCCTCCCAGCCGGGACCGGTCTGCGGCTGAACTCGGCTGGGGCGCAGCGGCGCGCGGGACGCCGTGTGGCGGGGCTTTGGGGGTGTCGGGCCGTGGGGGCGCCCCTCACGCCCCCTTCCGTCGTGCAGGGACGCCACCACCGCCTCCGCCCAGGTCCCGGGCCTCCGCCGCCGGCCATGGAGGCGGCTCCGGAACAGCCGCGCTGGATGGCGCACCCCGCCGTGCTGAACGCTCAGCACCCAGACCCGCACCACCCGGGCCTGGCGCACAGCTACATGGAGCCCGCGCAGCTGCTGCCTCCCGACGAGGTGGACGTCTTCTTCAACCACCTCGACTCGCAGGGCAACCCGTACTACGCCAACCCGGCCCACGCGCGGGCGCGCGTCTCCTACAGCCCCGCGCATGGTGAGCCGGGGCCCGCGGGTGACTGGGAGCCCAGACGCCCGGCGCGGGAGGGGACGAGGCCCGGCTGCCTGCTTCCCGGATGTGGGATCCGCAGGAATCGGAGCAGCTGAGAAATCGGGCCGGGAAAGGAGCGGGGCAGCGGCCTCTTGGGGAGGGTCTGGGCCCCGTAGGGCTTCTGCCCGTCTCCAGCTGGCCTGTGAGGGTTTCCTCCAGGCTTGTCCGGGGGTCCTTGTGTGCCACTGGTCCTTCCCCTCCGGACGGACATTCCTGACTATTGCCGGTTGGGGTGTTACATTTCTGGTTTTCTTCGGAGAGGGTCACTTGGTTGTGGGGAGTTGTGGCCCTGTGTGTCCGTGTCCCGGCTCGGCGCAGCCTCGTGCACCCTGACCCATCTCCCTCCCCCCGCAGCCCGGCTGACCGGAGGCCAGATGTGCCGCCCACACTTGTTGCACAGCCCGGGGCTGCCTTGGCTGGACGGGGGCAAAGCAGCCCTCTCCGCGGCTGCAGCACATCACCACAACCCCTGGACCGTGAACCCCTTCTCCAAGACGCCGCTGCACCCCGCGGCTGCCGGAGGCCCCGGAGGCCCCCTCTCTGTGTACCCGGGGGCAGGGGGTGGGAGCGGGGGAGGCACTGGCAGCTCTGTGGCCTCCCTCCCCCCCACTGCAGCCCACTCGGGCTCCCACCTCTTTGGCTTCCCACCCACGCCACCCAAAGAGGTGTCTCCCGACCCCAGCACCACTGGGGCCGCCTCCCCAGCCTCCTCCTCCGCAGGGGGGGCTGCGGCCCGGGGGGAGGACAAGGATGGCGTCAAATACCAGGTGTCACTGACAGAGAGCATGAAGATGGAAAGTGGCAGTCCCCTGCGCCCAGGCCTGGCTGCCATGGGCACCCAGCCTGCCACACACCACCCAATCCCGACCTACCCCTCCTATGTGCCGGCCACCGCCCACGACTACAGCAGCGGGCTCTTCCACCCCGGAGGCTTCCTGGGTGGCCCGGCCTCCAGCTTCACCCCTAAGCAGCGGAGCAAGGCGCGCTCGTGCTCAGGTAAAGGCAGGGCCAGGGACCTAGTGGACGTGGGGACGGTTTGTGCTTTGCGGGGGAGGGGGCCGTGATATGGGAGATGGGGCAGTGTCGGTGTCCTGGATCCGGGATGGGTGACGTCCCTCTCTAATGGCCCCCAGCAGATCTTTGAGACCCCAGAACGGGGGACAAGGGACCCTAGAACTTTTGCCCTTAAGTGTTCCTGGTGGCCCCAAAGTTTATTGCCCATCCCCTCTCCTCGCCCTCTCCTCCAAGGTTGGCCACTGCCCGACCAGAACACACAACGGGAATCCCCCCTTCCCCTCCCTGAGCCTTAAGTGAAAATTCGAGCAGCCTCATGACTTAGAATGTGAGAGAATGCAACATGCAGTGGAGAGCAGTGAGGCGGTGTATACGTGCGTGTACATGTGTTTGTGAGCGTGTGTGCGTGCTGTGGGTGCACTCAGCCCTTCCCAGAGGCTCCAGACCCTTAAGGAATCTGGATCTCCGACTTCATCAGTCCGGGTCTTGGGATTTCGATGGCTCCCAATCTTCTTGGGAGATTTCACCCCCACCCCCCAGGCAAAATTCCCAGGACCCGATGCCGCTCCCCGCCCCCTGGCACGTCCTTCACTCTCCCTCCCTGAGGGCTGGAGTGAGGGGAAGGAGCTGTAGGTGCCTCTGCCCCTCTGCTTCGGGAACTGGCTGGGACCGGGCTGGGTCGTCCAGGAATGCGGCTGCAGAGCGGACGCCGCTGTGGCTGGTGTGGGGCTCCTGCTGTCCACACCTCCTTCCAGTCCCTGTGAGACGCGGAAGAGGAAGATTTTTAAAACTTTTGCTGCTGAAGCCCAGAAACCGCCTTTTCTTGCCCGTATGGACTGACAGCTTAGCTTAAACTAAATGGGGAGAAATGTCCGGGGTAACAGCAGCTGTGCGGCTCCACCCTGCCGCCGCCAGTGCCCACCCCGGTCCCACCTCGGGGCCCTGTTTTGCTCAGACCAGCTCGCTTGCCTTTAATTAGTTCTTTCTCCCAAATTTGTTTTACATTCTATCTGAATTCCAGATGGCCCTTGAACAACAACAAAACAAAATACCACCACCACCAGACCAAGGTCACTTAGCCTACTGAGCCTCAAAAAACGAAAGGGCTTATTATTTATTTCATTTTAAAGGACAGCAACTTCCACCCCGGTCCAGGGCCTCGGCGGAAGGCAGGGAGGTGGGGGATTGAGAAGGAAGTGACCGTGGACGGAGGGACAGAGAACAGAAAGACGGGGCTGAGGACACAGGACGGGGAGCGGGGACGCCGCTGGGGGGAAAGGACAGGGACAGAAGAGGAGAGGGACTAGGAAGGGGGCCGAGTCCTCCCGGCCCAGCCGGCTTGAGCTGGCGACTCGTGCCCACCCCCTTGCTGCCGTCGGCGAAGTTTGCTGTAAATACCCTCTCCCGGCAGGCCGTGCTGAGGATCCCTGGGGCCCTGGCCGCGCTCCTCCCTCCCGCCCCATTCCCCTGCCTTAAGCTACTCTCCGAATCCCACCTCCCACCTCCGGGGTCCCTCTTCCCGCCAGGCTGGAGCTAAAAGTCCCACCCTGAAGCAGCCTGGCTGGCCCGCCGGCCCCCTCCGGTGACTTTGTCGGTTGAACAGGCTGGTGTCTCCCCCTGTCCCCTTTCAGAAGGCCGGGAGTGTGTCAACTGCGGGGCCACGGCTACCCCTCTCTGGCGGCGGGACGGCACTGGGCACTACCTGTGCAACGCCTGTGGCCTCTACCACAAGATGAACGGCCAGAACCGGCCACTTATCAAGCCCAAACGGAGACTGGTAAGAGCGGGCAGCCTGGGCTGGGGGCTGCCGGGCAGCCTGGGCTGGGGGCGTCGGCCTGCGTGGGAGCTGACAGTTAACGACAAAAAGAGCAAACCTTCAAATACAGGTGCTCTGGCGCCTGAACTCATCATTAAAATCACTTGGGTGTCAGTTGGGGTTGCCTTGCTTTTAGGCTAGATTTCTTTCAGGCCAGATTTCCCCTCTGCAGCCCACCTGGTACCTTCAGGGATTCCCCCCCCGCAAAGTTGAGCTTCCAGGGGCCCTAAGTCCGGTCCCCTGGCCTCTGTTAAACTCCTTTTAAAAATAGGGCCGTGAAGTAATTTTCCTTGTAGCCCAGGCTGCTCTCCCTGGCTTCCCCACACAGTCTCCTCACGCTTATTTAAATAAAACACACACACCAACCACCAAAAAAACCTGCCCTTTTATTATTTTTCCATGGAGTCACCTATACTGTGTATTTTCATTTGAGTGATTTTAAAAAAATGCCCTTTCGGATCTCCTGCCGGAGTTTCCTATCCGGACATCTGCAGCCCAAAGATAAGGAAACTTCGCGTATCTGTTTCCGGACTCCGCCAGTTTTCAGTCTCTCCTCGGCTCAGTCCTGCCTCTCGCTGGGCTGTTTTGAAACTTCTAATACCCTCCACTCTGCAAATAATGCGTAAAATGCTAAGAATAATAAATATATTTTTTCAGGGCGAAGTGATTTATGAGGCTTAAATCGCTTGCTGCTTCGGGGGCCCCCCTTTTTTTTTTTCCCTGGAGCGAGGGCGGGGTGAGGGCCCGGGTGGTGGAGGATGCGGGCTTGGTCCCTGAGTCAGAATTCCAGCTTCAGGCTGCTTACTCACCCTCACCCCTCCCCACCCCCGTGGCTGCAGGCCGGCCCCTCTGGACCAGGCTGGGGCCTGGGGCCACTCCCCGCCTCCCACCCCCACCCCTGCTGCCCGCGGTTCCCTGGGAAGTGCTCTTGTGGGTTTGGAGAGGGCTTTCT